TAGAGAACATTTTTAGAAATATTTAAGTATAAATAGTTACGTCAAAATGTGAATTTGTTGTCATTTTTGGTGAAAAACTAAAATATTTTGACTAAAATCTTTGTACAATTATTTTTAAAAATGTTACCTTGCATGTCAACTTCCATGTTTCTCATAAAATTATAATAGTGAATTATATAAACATTTTTAGAATTTTTTTGTATTAAATCTTTTGTCAAAATCCGAAGTTTTCACGTCATTTTTTGTCAAATTTTGTCAAATTTAAATGAAAAAAATCTCTAAATGCTGTAATTTGATGAGAAACATGCAGACTATTCAGCGAACTAAACAACAGAAAATGATTCCGGAATCTGACGACTCTGTCAGAACGTTAACTCGAACCGTATTCTATTTTCTTTTTGTGAAACTGAAAAATACAAACAACAATTTTGTATCAATATACAGCCCTCGTATTCTTTTAAAAATTCAAATAAATTAACGAAACTAATCAAAGTAAAAAAAAACAGTTCGGTTCTATGTTAACCTAATGCTAAGAATGCATGCTAACAAACATTTTACAAACATCGTTTCATATACGATTAAAACACAAAAACCAGGACCTCGAATTAAACTTTGTAGCAAAATAAACTTACAGCTTGTCCTGTAATGACCGCGTACAACGAAACCACGAAGAGCGTTTCTTCCAGCATGTTCTAACATCCACACATCGATTAATCTCAACAGAAAAGTTTGGTCATTTAGAACGCTACCTACCTAAGCCACTAGATGGAGACATTTTACCAAATCTGAGACAACATTCACCACAAACCTAGGGACAGAACACAGAAAATATACAATTCAGATTTTTCTTTTTTAAACATTTACCAGAAAATTAAAAAAAAAAAAAAATCTAAACAAATCTTGAATTTTTCTAGCAGGATGAGAAAAATGCATCTGACCAAAAATTATATGCTAACAAACAAAAATGCGTCTAAATACAATGTACCTACCTACCAGTGTATATAATCTGTGTTTAAAAGACCCCCTAACAAATGTCAAATATTGACCCTTCCTCCATTAAGACATCTGTAAAAAGAGTCATTACCCCTAGGTATATCATTTGTGTTTAGAAATGGACCTAAATTGCCTTATTATACTAAAACACTTATGGATTGCCTTTAGTCTTAGGGGTCAGGGTTATGTTGGTTAAGGTTAGGTTTAGAGGTCAGGGTTCAATTTACACCAAGATGCCTTGAAATATCAAAAAGGAAACGTGTCATTACGGCATATCAACAACATTTATTGGTGTATTTACATACAGCCTGAACAACGACAACACCTGAGAGAGCACCGACGTCGTCACCCGGTGTCTCCTCAGCCCTGAGACTGTTTTTGAATGTTAGCAGTAGAAAAGTCTAAAAACCGTGTTATCTGTTGTCCAGGAGCAGCTCAGCTCCAGGAGCAGCTCTTCAGTCCATAAAACAGGTCCCTGACGTGGGTCAGCTGCTCCATCAGCTCAGTGGGGGCTCCGTTCTGGTTCAGTTTCACTTGTATCTGGGGGAAATTAAATCAAGCTCTATAATTGGTGGAAAATTGTTATGTGGCCAAACTCATAGGACCCCATATATATATACATATATATATATACATATACATATATAGGGGTCCTATGAGTTTGGCCATCCAATCACAGTCAAATTAACACACACACATATACAGAATATATATATATATATATTCTGTATATGTGTGTGTGTTAACTTGACTGTGATTGGATGGTGAGGGGACATCAAAGTGAAGATAGAAGAAACAAACCTGTGTGAAATATCTCTGGATGAATTTGAAGATCTCTCTCAGAGCCGCTGGCTCGTTGAATTCATTCTGATGTTTCTGAAACAACAACAACCTCTTTAGTCCACCTCTGGACTGAGCCGGTACTGCAGTACGTTTGTAAAAGTCTCACCTTTGACTCCTCCTGCAGAAAGGCCTTGAATCCTGAGTCTGTGATTGGCTGCTGGCGCCTGACCTGGTTGTAGTACTCCTTCACTTCCTGTTTGAACTTGGGGATGTCTTTGGCGTAGAGAAGCTTGTTGGTCGGTGTATTCTGGAAGACAATAATGTCAGGGGTCAGGGGTCAGCTCACCAAAGACTTTAACACATGGGGAGGTCATAAACATGAAGATTTAAAATGACCGTTTTCATTCTTTAGGGGGGAAATATATCCATCCATCAATCCATCCATTTTCATCCGCTGGCGGGGGCAGCAGTCTCTACGACCACCACCCAAATCACACTGCACTGTACCAACCCCCCCAAACCTTCCTGCGGGTGGTGAGTCCACTGGAAGGTATTAACCACCCTAACTGGGATTTGAACTTGCCCAGGAGGTGAACCCTGGAGTTCCACACCAATGACAGAGACATTACCTCTGGGCCAAAGCCCCACAGAAAATATATATGGTCATATATAATTATAATTTTACATATATTAAAAAAAAAAATAAAATGTTTATTTTTACACATACATATATGCGTAAATATATACATACATATATAAATATATACATACATATATAAATATATAATTCTATATATATAATTCTATGATTTATCTTAAAAACCCTCAATCAAATATATCATGGTAACTTAATGTAATATTGTAGAATTTGATTTGAACTAATAACATAACAACATATAAACCAATATATTGCAGTATATTGCAGTGCTGATCAAATTATGCTCCACCACAAATTTCCCAGCAGGTGCTGGAAATGTACCAAACTGGTTCTTCACACAGTGTTCACAGTCGGGCGCTGGTCATTTACCTTGTCCAGCTGGGTCTCACTGAGGGAGAAGGAGTCCATGAAGGCCTGGGCGATGACCGACAGACATCCGTCCAACTGTGGACTCTTCTCCATGTCGAACACAAACTGCGGGTTTTTCAGGATGTTCACCCAGAAGCGAAGTGGTAAACTGGGGAGAACAGCAGAGAACCAGTCTGGTTCAGCTCATCTAAACCTATATATGCACAGTACATATATGTGTACAGTGGAGTCTGCAACTATATACACATATATACATAAATACACATATACACATATACATATATACACATATATATAAATATATACATATATACATATACACATATACATATATTCACAAATATATACATATACATAGATATATCCACATATATACATATATTGTATGTGTGTATATATACACATACATATACGTATATTCACATATATATACATATACATAGATATATACACACATATATATACATATATGTGTATGTGTGTATATATACACATACATACATATATACATATATACACATATACTGTATGCATATATATACACATATACACCTATATACATATACACATATATACATATAGATACATACATACACACACACACAAACGCATATATATACACACATAATCCACATACACACAAAAAATAGTTTTTTAGGGGAAAATTCAATCGAGACACGACTGATGATGTGAAACGGTGTGTGTGTGTGTGTGTGTGTGTGTGTGTGTGTGTGTGTGTGTGTGTGTGTGACGGATGTCTCCAACAACTTTGACAGGTTTTCAAACTGTTGTCAAATATCAGCTGTGACGAGGCAGACAAACAGGGGAGAAATACATCCCCCAGAATTCCACACTTCTCCACCAACTTCAATAATGTTTACACATGAGTGCAGATCAAAGTGTCTTCTTCTTTTTTTTTTTTTTTTTTTTTTTTAAAAATTTGTCTTAGAACTCCCTAATCGAACCTGTTGGTCCTCCAAATGTGCAGAACATCTGGGTCGCTGATCTTCATCTCGTTCGCCGTTTTGTCCAGAAAGTCGAAGAAGTACTTGATGGCGTGCGGCGCCTTGCCCTGTTGAGTCCCCCAGATGGACCTGAACAGGTTCTCCACGTAGGAGTGCACCGCCACCTGAGGAGAAGAGAAGGAGTGAGGATCCAGTGGTACTCAAACTCTGGTTCATGTACCCCTGGTGCTACTCCCTCTAGAAGAAGGTGGCCTTCGCCTTCTGATGCCATGGTGACATTTGGACACAGGGTGGCAGTGTGAGGCTGCCATGAAATTATAAAACAAATTTTAATTTTTTTTTCTTTTCTAATTCATCTTCCTATCCAACTGTCATCCAACCGCCATCCATCGTTCATCGCTAACTATTGACATTGTTACAGTGATGCAGGGTCACCAGTAGGACCAGGGCCATAGATTGAATCAACCAACTGTTCACACTGGCTGTACATTTGTATTCTGACTCTGACTCTATAAAAACAGAGGAATTGAAGTAATGTCAGTGTCTCTGACCACACTGCTGGCCAAAAAAGGAATTACACTAACGATCTACATATTACACTTGTACAGTTTCCTCCAGTTTCCTGCTGCGGATTAAACACGATGTTGGGCAATAAATAGTCATTTTACTCATCAAGATTTCAAACAACAACAGATTTTTTATCACGTGATTTTTTTTTTAATTGATTTTTCACTAATATTCTGTCTGTCATCATCTATAACTGGGCGACTTTTTCACTCGGCCGGGGCTCAGGTGATTATTTGCCCCAGTCTAAGCGACGGTCACTTACCTTCGTGGAGAGCAGCTTGGTGAGGTGAACCTCCTTCACTTTTAACTTCTTCCTCTCCAGGTCCTGCTGTTGGTCCTCGACCACATCAGGATCAATCTGCAGTTTGACAGAAGGGACGAAAGAACGAGAACAGATGAAAAACAAAACTAAACGTAAATCACAAAAATCTATTTTAACGTCTGTGTCTGGACTTCTTGTTGTGACATAAATGTAGTTCAAGCTCTGCTCACTTTCTGTCTCAGACGTTGTTTCATTTCTCTTTCTTGTATATTTAATGATTTTAAACATTTAATTTAAACCGTTTCATTAAAATTAGAATAGAGTAGATTATTTTTTCTTACCAAGTGGAAATATTTCCCCGTGAAATTCTCATCATCTAGAGGGAGAAAAAGACAAGTCAGCACCATGATCCTAGTTCCATAGATAAGTATAGGAAACACCAAAGAATAACTCAAAAATTCCATTTACATGATTTGTGTTTTTGTAACAATAAATCGTTAGCTGATTAGCTCACGATGAGTCATGATGTAACGATGAATCCTAAATCGGATAAAATTCCATTAAAAAAAAAAAGGATCAAGGTGTAAGGAGTAGACTGCGTTATCTTAAAAAGTCACCGGTCATTCCGTGACACTACATACGTTAGTACAGTAGGTGGCGGTATGCGCCTACAATCATTGGTTGTGACCTGTGACCTGTTATTTAACCAGTGCGTCAGGTTCCTTCAGTGACTCTCACCTTTCACACTTCCCTGTGGACTCAGAGGAGGATGAGTTTTATTAGAGAGAACTTTGACCGTCGCTCCATCAGGAACCTGCAAAACCGACACACAGGAAACGTCACTGTTTTTGTCTGTTTTTGTCAGATAAGAAATAACAAGGCTGGTCTCTGTCCAGTGTTTTAGTCCAGACCCTGGTTACTGTAGTCCTAAACCCTCTCATCACTCACCTGGTAGTGCTTCATTGTGTTGAGCATCGTCACGTCCCCCATGACCTCAGATCTTCTATCGACCTCCTCCAGGGGAACGAAGCTCCCGTCGTTCTCATACTCTGGTGGTGAAATGTTACAATCAGGACGTGAGAACAGACCGTCTCTGAAGATAAGGATAAGTTAAGTCTAACGTCAGTAGAAAGACATTTGATGCTCCATGACCTGGAACTCATTTACACTAAGCTGTGGCGCCCCCTAGCTACCTAATTATAATTTTATTATTATCGAAAACTATTATTTATTTACCGCACAGAAATTGCCTTAGATTGTCTGTGTCAGTGACAGGCTAAACAATTCGATACTATTCCACTAGGTGGCAGCAGATGGCTATAAAGACCAAAGAAAAAGAGATATTTGCATGTCGAGTTGGTTCCACAGTGTAGCGGTTAGTACGTCACGAGAGTCCTGGGTTTAATTCCCAAAGGAACCACATGCAGCACGTTAACACGAGAGTCCTGGGTTTAATTTCCAAAGGAACCACATGCAGCACGTTAACAGCAAATATTATTTTTATATTATTATATATTATATTATATTATTTATAATAAAAAAATTCTTCAACACCTGTGAGTATGTCACTGTGGTGTTCAACTAAACAAACCCAGGTTTATACTGAGGAAGTCAATTGTAACTAGAAGATCATACTCCATGAAATTATTTATTTTTTATTGCATTTTTTTAATGTTGCCCTGTGAGATTTTTCTAGTGTGAAGTATCTGCCGCAACTCAGAAAAGGTTGGAAACTCTGACACACTGAGGTGAAACCATAATGGAAACACTGCAGACCAACACCACCACTCACCAATATGGATGTCTTTGAGGGGCATGTTGTAGGGGAAACCAAACTTGGCCCTGAAGGTGGACAAAATTTTCTCCTTGACTTGATCCACCGTGTCACAGGTCAGACAGTTGACCTCCAGAGGCTCGCTGACCTCGCCGCCAATGCCCACAGCAAACAGCACTTTTAGCTTCTGCAGGAAACAGACAGAAAAAAAAAAACAAATAAAAAAACCTGAAGGTAGCGTCGTTCTACCGTATCTGGACGACAATCACTTTAGTTTAGCTCTAGTCAATCTTTAAGATAAAGGAGAGAGAAGAGAATGGCTGTAGAGGAAGTGCGGTCAGTCTTCATCACGTGGCCCTTGTGCTGTTTGGCTGTTAATGTGCGGCGAGTGTAATGGATGTATAGGAAGAGTGATGGTGTGGGCAGGACATTGAAGACCACTGTGGTGAGGGGTCACTGCTGCAGCAGAGAGTAGAGGAGGAGGAGGGAGAGGAGGGAGAGGAGGAGAAGCTGTTACAGGAAGCACTTAGGCTCAGAAGTGTTGAGGAGTGAACAGAACTCTCTTCGTTTGTTGCAGCTTTTTTCACAGATGTAGTGCATGTAACAGGATGTCGATCACCGGTTGCACAGTGTTTACCTAAAAACAACCCAGCTCTGAGGAAATCAATGACCATTTTGTAACTTTCGATATCTTTTGGTACGCCTCCCTGTCCTGAACTAATTAGAGAATCACAGAGGTCTCAGCCTGGAGGGAAAAGAGGAAGGAAAAAATTGTCTTTCATAAATTTCTCAGCTCCTTCCTTCCTCTCCTCCTTTTATTTATAAATGATATGTATTTCAGCAGAATTCCTTTTATAAATGTGAAACGTTTCTTTTTATACTTGTAAAATGTTATAGTTTGGCCTGGAGATCAAAAACCTTAGACCGTAAAGAATCATAATAAAAACAAAATTATATTCCAAAATTGAATTATCCAATAAAAAAATGTGCATTTCTTTTCTGGCCGAGCACATGACAGAACTTCATATTTGAATTTACAAACTGTAGGATTGTAGTTTCACTACTTAATTACCAATAAGTAATGAACCTGTAAATAAACGAGTAAAACAAAAGCTTCATGGGAAAAAAAAAATCAAATTATTTTTGACATCCCATTTCCATCACAGGTCGAATCAAGGGTGGTTAAGGGCCATAAGTGGCCCCCGACCTGGCAGTTTGGCACCCTTGTTATACAGTTTTACTGTATTTTGTAAATTAATTATATTGCAATTCTGTTTATGATAATTAGTAATACAAAAAAAACAAAAACCTCTGACTGACAGATCTAGTTCGCTCCAGATGTGGAGGTTCACGTGCAGGTGCCTGGACCTCGAGCCAGGAGTTTGAGTGCAATGCATTAGATTTATTATTTATTAATGTAACGCCGTTGGGTGAACTTCTCCATCTGTGTTCTGATCAGTCAGATGTGTTCACAGAAATCTGCAGAAATCTTTCTCACAGATTTCTCTCTAAAACGCTGACGTGTTCCATTTCCTCTGTGGTGGGAGGGACTGCTGAAAAGAGAATTCTGTAAAAAACTATGAACTCTCACTTCATCTTCATTTGTTAAAACGAAAGAACTTTTTGGGTTTGTTTTTTTTCCTTTGACACCTCATAAAATGCCTCGCAGAGATATATATTCTTTTTTACGAACAATCGTTTGATTTAAAATGGTCAAAAACTTGACTCGTAATGAAGTCATAAATAATGATATTTATGGTTTTCTATTTTCTTTTCACGTTTACGTCCTCACACCTTCACACTGCAGTATCTTTCTCTGGATATTTCTGAAACTGTCTGTGGTGCAGTGGCCAGAAAGCAAAGCGTGTGTGTGTGTGTTAAGAGGAAGAAGTGGTTCAGTGTCACCGAGCGTCATGGCACGCCATGCTTGGCAAACAAAAAAGAAAGTTTGAAGTAGAAGAACCTACAAGTCTGGTCTGTCTAGTCAAGAGTTAAATCTGTTTAAAAAAAGAAAAAAGAAACGTAATTTTTGGATTGACTGATTGATAAATCGACAGCACGAGGTAAAGAGACTGAAGTATTAAAATATATGAAGTGACATTTAAATACTACTATTATAGTATTATATTTATATATATATATATATATATACTAAAAATATTACACATAAATGTATCCAAATCTAAATTTAATTTAATCTAATCTAAATTTACTCCAATACATTTGTTTTTAATGAAACTAATGGAACTAAACTAGAACAAAAACAGTTCAAGAGACTGAATTGTGACTGCGACTAAGTTACAGTTTAGTCGACAGACTAAGACTAACAGACCAGCACTGTGCAATACCCCAGTGTACTACTAATACTCCTGTAAACGAGGTATACTGCAGTATCACTAAGGCCCTGTACGTGCTGCCAGTATCTGTCTTTAGAATAAAGGAAGTGGTTTCTCCTCCTCAATTTAGCACCAGAAGAGAACTGTGTGTTTTAGGAACTGCAATCTTCTGAAGTGAAGTGAACCTAGAGTGTGTGTGTGTGTGTGTGTGTGTGTGTGTGTGTTTCTACCAGGGAGCTGAAGTCCTGGGCCTGCCACAGCAGCCAGTCCTCACTGAGTGTGTACAGAGACTTCTGGGTCACACAGTCCACGGGGCCTTTGTTGATGTGCTGCGTGAGCGCGCTCACCAACAGGAACAGGTGTTGGCCAACGGACTCCTGAAGAGAAACAGGAAGCACAGTGAGACCGCGGTACCGATGCCACGGCGAGCGCAGCAGGTTCTCTTCAGGTGGTGGGCAACTGGAGACGTGTCAGCGCATACAATATGTGACACAATACACTGTACTACTGTAATACTGTGGTAGTACAGGCACGATGAGTTACTGACTTAGTAAAACTGTCATCATAGTAAACACACAATCGGATTAAATTCAATAAATGGCAACTAGTGTGTTAATCAGGGTTGGCAAACCTGTGGCCTGCGGGTCACTTACAGCCTGTGAACACGACACGTAACAACACAAAAAAAAAGTTTCCTTATGGAAAAAAATCTAATTATTTTTAACATTCAATTACCATTACCGGTGGTTAAGTGGCCCCCGACCCAGGAGTTTAGCACCCTTGTTATACAATTTTACTGTTTGACCCCAGTTAAATTTTTCTATATAATGGCCTCAACTAGGGCGGGGTCACTCTGGTTGAGCGGTCCTTCGCCTTCACACACACACACACACACCCTGGTACGGTTTTGTGAATTTTATGTGACATTATAGTGGACGAACCCTGAGGAAGCCGTAGAGACAAATGGACATCCAGTTGGTCAACAGTTTCTCCACGATGGACTCGGTGCGTCGCAGCAGAAGTTTGGGCTGAGTGTTGTTGTTCTGCAGCATCAAGTCCCTCAGCAGAACCTCCATCACCTCCGTCAGGTACAGCAGGTCACTGTGGAGCGTGACCGTTAGCAGAGACGCCAGGACGCATCTGAGGACGGCGGGAGACATGGACACAGAAGTTAGACTTTTTTTTTTTTTTTTTTTTTCTCGAGTGTCAACGTAGAGCGAGAGTCGAAACTTTGGATGAAAAGTGTGTGTGGGTGTGTGTGAAAACATTGCATATGAACAACAGATGATGTGTGACGGCTGAGCAGAGTCAAAAGGTCAGGAAATAAAGAGTCAAATATTATGAACCTTTCATTTACTTAAAGTCGTTTAGCAAAAAAAAAAGAGAACAATTTCTTTTTTCTTCTTATAGGTCGTGTATTAAACACTGTTGAAGCTCAGCTTCGATGTGTTTCTTTAGAGCCGAACTGGACCGTGGAGTTGTAGATACTGTAGTAACAGATACTGAAGTAGTAGATACTGCATATACGTAAGCTGGGCTTCAAGTAAATCTTCAAAAAAAAAAAAAAAACAAATAAAAAAAAAACGTACTTGTCTTTGACGTTGAAACTCTTCTGCTCCTCCAGAGCGTGCACCATAGACCTGAGAAACAGCTGATCGTGGATCAGTTGGGACAAAGCACGGCAGCACTCGTCGAGCTGAACTTTCACAGTGTCCTGGTCACAGTTCAAAAAAAAAAATACACCATCACTGTCTTATTATGTTGACAAAAACTCACCACTGATTACAAGACAAATACCATGAGTGATGAAGTACCTGGAGATGATTGGTTTCCACCACAGTGACAGACCTCAGCGCTGGTGGTTGAACAGTTGACGCTGATATCAGTTCAGCTGTTCAACCACAGCCCACTTTACTGTGGTCACGTAAAATACTCTAATAGAACTGCAGTTTTTCATATTGTGCTCAAATATTTGTTAATAAATTAACTGGAAATATTCTTCTTTTTTAACATTTATGTTTATATATATACATATATACATAATTATTCTGAGTTTTCACAAAATATATCACATGAAAAATAAACATGACAACTTCTACATTTACATTTAAGGAGAGTCTCAAGTGTTAGTTCGTGTCTCAAGCCATAAGAGAGTGACATTTACACACTACAGAAGTACAATAATAAATATATATGTTTTTATTATTATTTTTGATTAATCTACCAGCACTCCAAGGGACTTTTTTTTAGTAGCCACAAAAAGGCGATGCAGTATTTGAATCTAGTTCCTGGTAGACGCCTAGTTCCTTGTAAAATACCTACTTCCTGGTAAAAGGTTCTGCGTCGACACTTTAGAACGGCACATTAGGACGTGAGATCAGTGAAAAACCCACCTGACTGATGTCTGTGATGCACAGCGTCAGCAGAGCTTCACCCTGGGTGTAGGTGACAAACAGGAAGCTGTGTTAATGTTCTGTTGATGAAAACGGGACCACGCAGCACTGACTCTCCAAGCTGTGAAGGAGGACATCCGTGCTGCTGTACTGTAGTGTACTGTAGTGTACTGTAGTGTACTGTACTGTACCTCGGGGAAAAAGATTCTACAGGCGAAATGTTTGTAGTCGAGGAAAGGGATGGCGCCAACGTTCTCCATCAGCTCGGCCGTTTCCGTCTGCAGATCCACAAAACCTGCAGAGAACAGATCAGTAAATACAACCAGCCAATGAAAAAACACCACATATTTGAAAATAAATAAATAAATAAAAACAGCTAAAATATAAAAAAAATGTAAAATGTAATTTACACCCAAATAAACATCAACATTTACAATCTGCTCTAAAATGAAAAAAACAAAACAAAACACTTTCAATAATAAAATATATGATTTGCACTGATTTCAGCTAAAATGCTAACAAAAAGAGCTATAACTTATGCTACAAAAAATAATTTAAAAAAATCAATCAAATATATATGTGCATAAAATGCATACCATACTATTTTTAACAAAATTTTAGCTTGAGTTTAAAAATAAAAATCAAATATTCATGCTAATCCTAATGCATACAAAAAATATAAAAGGGTTTTATAAATATTACATAACAAGATACAATATTATATTTTACACTGTCAAATTTAGGCCAAAAACAACCAAATACATTTTTGGGTTTTTTGGAAAGGATAAAAAAAAAATGAAATGTCTGCTCCAAAAATGTGTGTTTATAATTTCTGTAAAAAACAAAACAAAAAACCCATTATTTCTTATGAAGGCAAAAAGTGATCAAAACCAACAAAGCGACCTTGTCTGATGTCATTCCTGATGTCGAGCTCCAGGTTCTCCATCAATCGGTTCATTCTATCCGTTAACATCTGCTGTTTGCGTCGGTAGATCAGCAACAGAACTGAAAGACCAGAACAAGGTTGGTTTTTTTTTCTTTGAAGGGAAATTGCAGCTTCAAGGTCAGACTCTAACGTCGAGCGGCCGAGTGTGAACTCACCGACGGTAAAGCAGAGGATCGGCACCAGAACGAGCAGCAGCCACAAGAACTGCAGGGATGAGTTCAGGTGCAATGTCACCGATCGGTCCCCGAACCTAATCTGGGAGAAAACAGAAAAACAAACGCAAACGTCACCGACCAAAACCACCAATCAACACCAATTAACTTTGGATTAGAACCCATTCATTTAAATTAATGAAATTGTTTTTAAATTTTGAAGAATGAAGTAAAGAGACAATATTACAGTAAACCAGTCATGGGTCAATTAAAAAGATATTAATTTAATGCAGAGAGAAATGTAAAAAAAAGTATCTAATTAGTCTATATTTTTACGTAATAAATTAAAATAAATAAATAAGCAGAAAAAAAAATCAATTCTACTTTCTTGGTTGATCACTGATTTTTTGTTTCTTGATTCTGTGATAATAATAATTAAGTCTTCAACTGAGCAGAAATTAGATAAAAAATACTAAAAGTCTTCGCAGAACCTTTTTAAAGAGAGAGGAGGAAGAGATTGCAGGTTTTAATCACCACAGGGGGCGCTAATGCACCATTTGTTTTTTGTCAGCCATGTTATTCTTATAACAACTCTGGATAAATACAGTCCAACATAATTACACTAGTGATTTTACGACAGCGTTGCTCACATAGACAGTCGTGTACCACTGGTACTGACGAAATACTGCAGAGTACTGCTGAAATACTGCAGAGTACTGCTGAAATACTCACCAACAACTGCCTAAACTCAACCTTGTTTGTTTCGATTATTTCACAGATGAAAAGTTCGTTGCCATTCTTATTATCTTTGTCCTTCATGATGCAGGGGAAGAGTTTTTCCTTGTGGACCCCCCAGGCCGACAAGTCCCCGGTGGTCATCGACAGACTGTCAGGCTTTTTCTGCAAACAAAACAAAGTGTGTTATGATGAGCTGCAGAGAAGGAATTAAAGTTTAAAATGTAATAAATGACCCAGGAAATAATCCCCGGTGTCTTTATGAATGGGTGGAGGGGAAGTAGATCAACAAACAAAAATAACTGGCAGAGCTGTTGAGACAAGAACAAATCACAGCTCAGATTTCCAACAGACTGTTGAAATTAGTTTAAGCGCCGGACGTTGGTTCATCACTGACAAAAGACTGAAGCCCAGGACGAAGACAGTTGTTGTGTTGTTGTTCTACTGGTTGTGAACGTGTATAAATAACATGTATATATACAGTATATGGTCAATTTAGTTATTTTATATTATTTTATCTTTAAATATTTTTTTTAGATTTTACAATAAAATACTATCCAAACATATGTAAATTTAAAAATGAAAACATTCTTATTGTGTGGCCTGTTACCAGCCTGTAACCCAGTGGTTGTGGACTGTAATGTGGTGAGTTCGTGTTAGTTTTAACTACTTCACACTTTTATTTATTTTTTTTTTCAACTTACCTCAATGGTGATGTACATGCTGCTGCCCCATCTGGAGGGTTTGAAGCTGGTGAAGGTTGGATCGGGGTAGTAGGTGAGCTTCTTTGAACAGAGCACTGTCTCGTTGGCTACTTTCAGAAAGACAGTTGTAGTGAAGGTGGACTGAGAGTTTCCAGCTGCCAGTGTTTCGTAAGTGATTCTCTGCAGTGGAACAAAGAAACATCGGGTGTGGTTTGTTTGTTGGATTTTTTTTTTTTTTTTCATTTGAAGTCAATAAAACAGTAAGGTGTGTTTGTTTTTCGTCAGTTTTGTCCACAGATTTACCAAATGACTGCGGTTTGTCTGAATCCTGGCTTCTTGTGTTCCGTTGCTCTGTGTGATCCCATCCACAAGGTCCAGCTTTGAGCCTTTGAGTGTGACGTTCCTCCTCCCACTACAGGAGACGCAGCAGCAGCAGCAGACCAGCAGGGGAGAAGACAACAGTGTAACAACACTGACCTGTGACCAAACACCCTCAACCCTGCAGGTTTTGTAATACTTTCATTTGACATGTCAAAGTGTGAAACACTTGGAACAGAACTTTCAGTTGTGGCAGCTAAAAACAGAAGTGCTTCGCTGGTAAAAACAAGATGTACAAGAGGAAGTTGCTATCTTTCACCATCGGACGGCCGTAGAGTGAGACTCTGTTCCTCACTTAACAGACAGAGACACGAACGTCTCAGTCCCTCACGGCTGAGTCTGGACCTAAAAACATGTTTTATTTTTACCTATCGCTGTTTACAGAGAAAGGACAGTTACTGTTGACTGAATGAGTTGACAATTCACACCCAAACATGTGATTAACTTTGTTTACTGTAGTCATGTCTTTGAATTTGTCTAAAGTCGTTCATGAAATCATTGACAGTAATCCTCCTTCTAGTTTACCATACCACCGATTACCAAATTTTACGGACTATAAATCGCAGTTTTTCCCATCCTATGGCTGGGTTTGCGACTTATTCTCAGGTGCGACTTATATATATATCGAAATATATCATTTCACATGTTTGTTATTTTCACACTGACAGCCTCTAGAGGGCACTCTAAGCTTGTGTACCAGTATCTACTACTCCTGTACCACTGAAAGTTTACATGTTCGTTAATTTCACACTGACAGCCACTTGAGGGCACTGGTGCGACTTATACTCCAGAGTGACTTATAGTGTGGAAAATATGGTACTTTTTATTTTGCAACCTATTATGATTATCACCCAGTAATTCTTCACAATGTCTTTTTTCACCAGAAAAAATGAGGGATGAAAAGTTTTTAAAAATATAAATTAAATTTAAAAAATTTTTGTAAGACACTGTACCTGAGCCACGTGCTGCTCGGTTTAATGTCAGTGCAGGAAGGTAGCGACTTGTAGGTGACTTCAAAGTTGCCACGGCAGCTACCATCCGGCAGAACAGCACACACGCTGGCCACGCCTGTAATGTCAGTCCTCGGAATGTGGAAGGTCAGATTCACTCCTGTGTTGTTCCATATGTAAAGTCTAAAGAGAACACAGAGGTCAGACACAAAACACTGAGACTAGGATTTCTCCATTTCATCAACATAATTGTTTAGAGATGCTGAAGTAGGAAAGAGATTGCTCAGAATATTATTACAAATGCGATGCAACATGACAGGGTATAGCACTGCTTATTTTAGTTTCCATGCTAAAAAAGACGTTGATAGAAAACAAGTGAGTTTTCCTGCTGTGAACATATCACAAAACGTAATAAAGAATTGCCTAATTAAACGTAATTAGGCATCAAAGGTGTGCATTAGGATGAACTAAAAAAAATAGGTGCTTATATTATAAACATATTTGTGTATAATGACAAATAAAACTAAACTCCTAGAACATTATTTTAAACAAAAATCCTCATAATAATTAAAAAAAAAATTAAAAATCATGACAAGATACAGTGGATAGAAAAAAAGTCAATAAATTAGAATAAGATAAATTAACTTTTAACTTTTTTTCTACTATTAAATTGACCTATATCCTGTGTATAATTTAAAAAACCTTAGGGGAGGAAAAACTTTATTTGGGTTCAGAGGAACCTTAAATGGTGAGAGGTACGTGCTGACCACCAGTTTGAATGTGATTGGTTAATTCTGTCACATGCGCATTTCTCAGAGGGAGTGCAGAAATATGCCCACATTATCTGTATTTATTTTTATTTCCCCTTTCTAAATTTATTTTTTATTCAGCTGAAATGTCTGAATTACCCTCTTTTTTTTTATCATCACAAAAACATGGCATTTAAACAGCTGCGTGGGGACTTTTTATATCCACTGCAGGTGTGCTGCGGTGGGGGGGGCAAGGGATTTTTACCTCTCAGTTTTGGGCAAAACTGACAAAAAACATATTTGAATCATTTTATAAATATAATAAACTACAAATATTCTCTGCGGTGTGGAAAAAGACTCACTCCTGTGGCCTGCAGGCGGTGT